AAGATGGAAAATAACATCGGAGGAAGTCGTTACTATGCAGTCTACGGTGGTTTTTACAGCACCTGAATACAATCGCAGGCAAACTCACCAAAAGTGCACATCTCTCAGCAGGGAACGACGTTTTTCTGTGAATAATGTCCAGAGTTTTCGGGCTACAGTTCAACAGCACGATAGCAGAAACTCCAAACCACACGTATGCCCCTATAGTACTTCCCGTATGACGTCACCGATCTCACCTGTGTACAATCTGCACCTCTGTGGACGCGGAAGGGCGCAGCAGTCATTTCAGACTATTCATTGCATCTTTGTTGTGTGTAATTCTCACTAATGGTGTATCCGGCACAAAACTGTGAAACTCTGATTCGTAAACGACTCCAAAAACACAAAGTCATGATGCAGTTCACACATTTATTCGTAAGAACCAGTATTCTTTGAAATACAAAATGTAGGAATTTCAAAATATAACCAAAAGCTGGTATCATGGAGTAACTGGCTAAAGCTGCACACCCTGTACAATAACTTATTAACCAGTTTCATCACAAACTGGCTGGAAAGGTACAAAAGTAAGAGAGAACAGAGGTGCAGGGGAGAGAGAGTCAGTATAAAACTCAGGTGCATCACATTGGTTGTTTTTTTTTTTTTTAAACCACTTCTACATGTGTTGCATTTACATTCTCCTGGCTGGCATGAGAACAACTCTTTGGAAAATACAACCTTGCCAGTTCACAAACACACATGTAGACAGTGGAAAATAATGGAATAGCACAGAACACTTATGTACAAAAGAAGGTGGGAGAAAAATAGTGACCTGAACTTGGTGAAAAAGACCACTGAAATCACTGGATTATCATCTCAACAGAGAGGTGTACAGCTTAAATATTATAGCTCAATAACCAGCATTGGATTAAATATCAGTCTGAAAGCGCAAACAACTTTTCATCAGATTGCTAGACTAGTTACAATACACTTAGAAGTATATTTTTAATAAAATACCAGCACAGCAGAAGTTATCGTACGCAACAGTTGTTTTTCTAGCAATTTTACTACCTGTTTAAGTTCCTAAATTGTTTGAGCTTTCAGACAGCAGTACCAGTAGTTCAAAAAGAGTTTTGTGCCACAATGTCACAAAAAGGCCACAATTAACTCCCTGGTCACAACACAGGTCTAAACAAGACCTGTATGATGTAAAAGGTGTTTACACAAGTGTCTTTGCTCAATGCAACAGGTCCGAGTTTTAGCAAAAATCACTGTTTAGCAAAGAAAACAACGGAAACACAACGGGTTGTGTATTGGCTGAGACTATCAGCGTGGTGTCTGTGCTGTTGCTGTAAACAAATAAAGAAAAACACATGCTATTTCGGATTAACATGTATAAAACACACAAAGAAAAGCCTGGGTCATCTCTCTACAAGATATGGCAGATGAGTTTAGTACACAAGTCTCTCTGAACGACTTAAGGGAAGAGTACCGTGTGCGAACCCAACAAGCAGCAAATGGTAAAACCAAACAACATAAAAACAATATGAAAGAAGGAATTACAGGCAAGAGCGCCTACAGTAAAGCAAACCCATAAAAAAATAAAAGAGAAATTCAGTAACACTGAGTTCACAGTATCTTAAATTAACCAAGAGATCATCTTTCAGAGAAAGAGGGTAAGATGGCTTCTCAAAATGTGAAATGCACACACATTTTGTTGTGTACCAAAGGCCTTTTAAATTACATAGATTTTTTTTAAACTATCAAGTGAAATAAAGCAAGTGTCTGTTACCCAGTTTCAAACTATTCCACATATTTAACGCAACAGGCACTTGGTTGGTCTAACAAACACTGAAATTCAAAGAGGTGGGAATGCTCTATCACGTAACGAGGGGCCAAACGAGAAGAAACTGATGTAAGTTGTTTTCTAGATTTCCTTGGTGTGGAAAAGCATCCCTCCACCTCCCTCCAAGTCACAATTTTGCTGACTGTCAACAGGTGTTAGATTCTACTGTAAAACAGGAGCAAGAAAACCGTGTGACTCTTAAAGGCCAGAATGAGGTCTGATGAAGTTTTACACCATCTCCTCCCAGAACACAAACAGGTCAGGCAAATCATTATGTAAACACCCTGCCCTGAAATACAACTGTGAGGAAAGTGTAGCTTTCAATATAAAACTGCAACTAAGTGTGTTAAACTTGATCAATGTTCCAGCACTGATTAAGTTTAGCTTGCAATTCGACATACCTAACTTAATAGCCAAATCATTCAAAAGGACCTGGCATGAACATATTGTAGGCGTGTATGTATTTGACTTTTAAAATAAAAACTTCAAATTACTACTGGAGGTTTGTGTGGAGTCATCTGGCTTTACTTTTAATATTTGGGAGCTTTTAGGAAATGTTATTCCCTGAAGTAAGAAAGCGCTTCTCCTTTGGTCACATCATCGCTTAAGGCTTCGTTAAAAAAATAAAATAAAAATGAAACAAGCAAACCAGGTAGTCACTGTGTTGAGTAACAAAAAAGAACATGTAACAAGGCTGAGAGCGATGGTCTGGTAAGCCATAGCTAGTGAGGAACTTGGTTGAATGATTCTTCTAGTTGAATGGCTACTGTGTTTTGGTCCACCTGCAGAGAACATAAAGACAATGACAACAACCCAGGATGTTATAATCACACATACATACAAATAAATAAATATATAACAGAAACTGTGTCAGGAAGTAAGAAATGTTGTCAAAAAAGTAAAAAAAAA